TCATCGAAAGAATCGTAAAGAGGAGGAAAAACTGAACTGGATTTGATGCTTTTTGTTTTCCCGCCACCAATTCTCATCGTAACAATCATAAACAGAAAGCTGAAAGTATGTCAATTTGAAGAGTATTGGAATTATAAAACCAGTATCAATTATGATTATTCGATATATTTTAGTCAAAAAATCGCTCGAAAGAACTTACTAAGTCTCAGAGTTTTTATAATGGAGATACAGGGTGAATTATCGGTTTTGAATAATTATTCACTCGTCCATGAGTATAAAACTACCCAGTAACATTTTCTCAAATATGGTATGTATAGCTTACTTGGGTCGATGGATTCATCAACCTATCATGCGGAATTATAATTCGATAATCCACCCCGTTTCTCTGTTATAAAGACTATGAGACTTTTCCTGAAGCTGAACCTGTATTTCCATTCTGCCTGATAGGTCAATGAATCCATCGTCCCAAGTGAGCTCAATACCAAATTAGAGAAAATATTACTGCGATGGGTAGTTTAATACTTATGGACGAGTGATAATTCACCATGTATTTCTGTTATAAAGACTGTGAGACTAAGTGAGTTCTTTCGAACGATCATTTAACAGGAATATATCAAATAATCATAATTGAAAGTGGTTTCATAATTTTAATACTCTTGAAATTGACATACTTTTACCCAGGTAACAAGCTGACGTCATTTGTACGTCATTATCACGTCAGGCCTGACGTCAGGATGACCTCCAAAATGACGTCATAATGACGTTTATATGACCTTCTAAGTCAAAGACGAATGACGTCATTTCCATGTCGTCAAAATGACGTCATCCTAATGACGTCAAAATGACGACATCCTAATGGCGTCAAAATGACGTAATCTTTACGATTATTTATATCACTGAAATCATCTGCATGTTTCAGTTCATTTTGTGCTATTTCGAAATTTTCTGTAGTTAAAAAAAAAACACTGTTGCATTAGGGTGGTTTCAATATTATCAGAAAAGATGAGATTTTTTTTGTATAATTATATTGATGTTCCTTTACCACATTAAATGCAAAATAATATTATAGGTAGGTACTATAAATACCAGTTTCATAAAATGTTCTTTTTATTGGGAACTTATCCCATTCGGATGATGCACTCAAGAGATTTCTCAGAACCCTATGGTATTCCTTCAATGACGTCCAATTCACATTCTGCTCTTTCGGCATACACCACTTGTCTAAAATAATGACCATGCTGCCATCCTCAAATTCTACTACTTGATATATGAATATGAATAAGTATGACCACCACACCACACAACATAGATAGCCGAATAACATGATAATGATGGCCTTCTTTGTATTGTTATTTTGTTGTTATGGTCATCATGGCCGCAACGGCGAAGCGAAAGTGAACGGCTTGGCCACAGCCGTCTTCTGAAGACGGCTGTGGGTTGGCGCTGGCGGTCGACGTTCGCATGTCTGCGCAAGGTCCGTGCCGACCAATCAAATATAGTTCTCTACGCACTCTCCCGCTCTGATTTGAATTCGCATTCCGGAATAACAACGTTATAATCTTTTTATGACGTGACATTCGGTCTTATATTTTCAATAGCTATAGGGAGAATACTTTGCACAGAAGGTATATAATTAACAATTATCTCAGAGATCATCGAAAACACACATCTCGCACAGATTAGAGGAAAAATTATTATGAAGCATAATATATGATGAGTGACATGATAATATATGTTATATAACATAACTACTAACGTTTTCATATAACAGAGATGGGAAACTTCTTGATTATGGATTTTCCTTGATGTAGATGACTCAATAAATGATGGTCATAATTAGTCATGAAAATGACCATCAGATGACGTCATATTGACGACATATCAAGGACGTCTATATAACGTCATATTAAGTACGTCAAAATGACGTCATTTTGAGGTCATATGACGTCAATGACCATAAATGACCATATATTGACGTACAAATGACGTCAGCTTGTTACCTGGGTAGCTTCCTGTTTATGATTGTTACGATGAGAATTGGTGGCGGGAAAACAAAAATCATCAAAACCAGTTCAGTTTTTCCTCCTCTTCACGATTCCTTTGATGAACTTTGTCAATTATTACATACAGTGTGGTATTTTAATATTTCGAATAAATGAAAATTTTTCCTGAAGCCGAACCTGGATTTTCACTTCGCCCTATAGGTGAATGCATTCAACGTCCGTTTAAGCTCCATACCAAATTTTAGAAAAATATACTGGGTAGTTCAATACTTATAGACGAATGAATAATTATTCGAAATCGATAAATCGCCCTGTATCTCCGTTATGAAGACTCTAAGACCTATCAAATATGGTATTTCCAGAACCACCTTGGTGACCCCTTTGTACCATTGAAATATTTCCCATAAGTATTGGACTACCCATCGCAGTAATATTTTCTCAAATGGTATTGTGCTTACTTGGGACGATGAATTCATTGAACTATCAGGCAGAATGGAAATACATGTTCAGCTTCAGGAAAAGTCTCATAGTCTTTATAACAGAGATGCAGGGTGAATTATCGAATTATAATTATTTGGTATTATCTCCATTCTGCCTGATAGGTTAATGAATTCTTCGTCCCAAGTAAGCTACATACCTACCAAATTTGAGAAAATGTTACTCTGTATTGTAGTTCAAGACTTTTGGAGACTGTAAGACTTAGTGAGTTCTTTCGAGCGATTTTTTGACAAAAATATCAAATAATCATAATTGATACTGGTTTCATGATTCCTATACTCTTCAAATTGACATACTTTAAACTTCCTGTTTATGATTGTTACAATGAGAATTGGTGGCGGGAAAACGAGAAGCATCATACACAATTCAGTTTTTCCTCCTCTTCACAATTATTTTGATGTACTGTGTTAATTATTGAATACAGTGTGTTATTTTAATATTTCGAATAAATGTAAATTTTTCCTGAAGCCGAACCTGGATTTTCACTCCGCCCGATAGGTGAATGAATTTACCGTCTCAAGTACAAGCTCCTTATCAAATTTGAGAAAAATATACTGGTTAGGTCAATACATATGGACGAATGAATAATTATTCGAAATCGATAAATCGCCCTGTATCTCCGTTATGAAGACTCTAAGAACTATCAAATATGGTATTTTCAGAACCACCTTGGTGACCCCTATCTACCATTGAAATATTTTCCTTCACCCATGAAACACCCTGTAGACGAATGAATAATTATTCGAAATCGATAAATCACCCTGTATCACCGTTATGAAAACTCTAAGACCTATCAAATATGGTATTTTCAGAACCACCTTGGTGACCCCTATCTACCATTGAAATATTTCCCTTCACCTGTGAAACACCCTGTATAATGATTGAAATAGGTATACTGCTAGTGGTCAAGAAATTGATATTCACCTCAGTAGTAAAAATCTTATCACCACGGGACCCTTTACCCCTCGACTGAAGCCTCGGGATATTACTTTGGTTCCTATATAATAATGATATTTTTCACTACTTTTGTTTATAAATATCTATTATTCAACCTACCGATGTTATCGATGTAATTTTTATTGAAACTATATACACACTACTTCGTGTTGTAACAAAAAATGTCTCCATCAACCTCAATGGGATAAAGTTAAAAAAGAATGATGGTTTGACCTTCTACCAGATGCCCTATCATTATTTTGCATAACTTAAGTCGGTTTATTGTATTTCATTCAACGTAGGAACAGTAGTATTCTTGCAATATCAATTCGGTGTGAAATATGTTCTTACTGAATTCCGCTCTAGCTAATCTTTGAAGCTCTCGTGGTGGAAGTTTCAACAAATCTGACATATGTTTCATTATTTCTTGAAAATTTCTGAAATTTTGATAAATTCTATAAATTTCGGTGGGTTCGTGAAATTTCTGAAATCTGAATGAGTTTTATATTAGTATATTATTTATTCAACGACATAATGATGACTATTACCCACGAAGATGAAAAGAGTTGCAGTACGAGCCGAAGGCGAGTGATATAATCATCTGAGTGCGGGTAATAGTCATAACGTGTGGTAAGAATACTATACCATATCTTCAACTATCCAAATATCAAAGCAACTCTGAGAGTTCAGAAATATACCTTAAAAAATATATTGCGAAATCACTGAATCTGATTTGGAATATTCATCAATTTATTCGAAAACTTATTGACAGAGATGTCAATCAACCAACAGCTCACATATAACTTATTTAAATAATTTTGATTGTGAAAATATGATAAACAATGTCGGATCTAACTTTAACTAACAGAAAAGAAGTCGTGCATTCACATATCAGGCAATCTTAATGCCATTTCACTTTTCAGTTGTGAAATGAATCATTCTATCACAGATTTTTCATTAACTTGCTTCCGCTGTAACATTCTTCCACCGCGATGATTAATTGTAGTATCCTGTCTCTAGACGCTAGTTATCAACAATGAAGTTCCATGGTTGTGATTGGTGTGTACTGATTCATTCGCATAGCCCACACATAAGTATATGACCCAATCTGCAACTGTCAAGTGTCAAGTCCAATTTCATGGTTATGGTTACTCATGATGGTAGTCAACTAGTCACTATTGAGAATAAAAAACAGTGAATTCTCATTTTTTCGTGTATTTGTAGAATTGAAGTGATTGAAACTATGAGAATCATGTGAGGTGAGTCTCTTGAATTTGCGTGTATTTCACAAACAGTAGTATAGTGGTGTGCTTCAGTAGAACTAGTAGTCAACCTACCTAGTTGAATTTGACAAGACGATGGGATGTCGAATGATTACGTCATCCTACTGTCATTATCACTCTTATTACTCGATTCATCACAATAATGTATGCCATTAAATTTTTGAAAACGAGTAAGCAATGTATGAATGACTCCATAGTTGTAGATGAAGTATTTCATAGAAATTCCAAGTGAGATATGATGTCATAAGAAGAAATTGAATTTTTCCAACCTCTTCTACAGGTGTGCGGCAAGTGCTACAAGATCCTGCCGCCGTCAGAGAAACAGAAATGCACACGCCAAATCGGTCTAGAAAGTCTGGCAGAGATCCTGGCTTTTCCCTGCCGATACGACGCCCAGGGGTGTCCTCGAACGTTCAACTGGTGTGACGAAACGAATCACGAGAGCGAGTGTCCTTACAGGACATTGCTCGATACGAATGCGGATGCGGGGAAAAGGAGTTTGATCTTTTGGCCGAAGGATGAAATGAGTTGTGAAAATGGACGTGTCAGGGCGGTATTCAAATATGAAGTGGAGGAAAATAAGTATGCCAATGAGTTCAAGAACTTGAGATATTCGCTCAAGATAAGGAGTATGGGTGACAATGTGATAGCTATCAAATGCAACGATAATAGATCCTCTCCACATTGGTAAGCTTTGAAATGGTTTTTTCGTTTTTTCGAATTGTTGATTCACGATACGAATACGGTTGCGGGAAAAAAGGGTATGATCTTGTGGCTGAAGATAGAAATGAGTTGTGGAAATTGACGGGTCAGGGCGGTTTTCATATATGAAGTGGAGAAAAATGAGTATGCCAATGAGTTCCAGAACTTGAGGTATTCGCTAAAGATGAGGGGTATGGGTGAAAATGTGATAGCTATCAAATGCAACGATGATAATTCCCCTTCAAATTGGTGAGTAATGAGAAGGTTTCTTCGTGTTCCAAATTGTTGAATTGGTCCTTGGACTGCGCATCAAATCAAATCCAAAACTAGTCTGGGATAATTTCGAAACTAGAACACGCTTTTTCTTGGGGCATATTCAGGTTAGAGTTTTTATGTTTATGTTTGCCCTATAGAGAATTCTGAAATTCAGGGCCTGAACATAAACCATCTCCACTAGAATGTTCTTACGCTTCTATACCTTCCAAGAATGTACTTTGAATTCTCAATCCGAGTACAGATTCATTTAAAACCACCATTCTCCAGTTTGGCCCTGAAGATTTCGGGCAGATACAATTTTCAAAAACGTTCGTTATCTTGTTTGTTATCACATAAACTTGAAGAGTATGATGAGCTTGAGCTAATATGCCCATCTTTCATAATCTTGATTGTATTTCTTCAATAATCTCATATTTTATCTCGTTTGAGAATATATCTTTCTCTGTATCTCTCAACTGAGGAAGCTCAAAGGTTGAGAATATGTTGCATATACGCATATATAGGAATCCAAAATTATTCACGACAGTCATGGGCAGTTCATGCCCAATGGATCGTACTGCTTTAGACCGATTCGGAATCATCCTAAACTAGTTCGTGTAAAACAAGAACTAATGAACAGGGGAATCCGAAACAGTCCTGAGAAAACGCGAACACTTCTTTGTCACTGCGCATGCTTTTGATGGTTTCGGTCTGTTAATTTGGTGAACGGGACAAACCTAATATCTCGAGCGATATAGATGATATTTTATTAATCATCGTTGGTGATTCATTTATTTTGTCAACACTTCTTCAACTTCGAGTTTTATTTCGGATAATGTGAACTCGATTTCAGAATTGGTTAGTTCGATTTCAGAAATGGTAAACTCAATTTCAGAATCGGTGAGTTGAAATTCAGAATAAGTCCATTCAATTTCAGAAATGGTAAGATGTATTTCAGAAAATGAATCCTTATATTTTCTTAGTTGCATGTGAAAAAAACAAACCATGTTTAGTATATCCAAATTTTTGAAAACCATTCCATAGCATAAACTTGATCTTCAATTAATTAATCAATACAGACATGTCTTTCATTAGAATCGCAGAAGGATAGTGACGTTGCACATGATTTAAAGAAAATTCAAACACTCATGATATATGTTCTCATTGAATGACCTGAACATTATTCAAGACATCACAGTCTGAATTCTATTTGGTTGAGCAATCTGTTTCAATTCCCGGCTATGAGCCTTTGGTGATGCTTTTGCAAGAAGCTTTTTATTTTCGACTTGGAGGTTTTCCATAATATGTTCAATTAGTCGGTTCAACATTGGAGTCTGTAATGGGCCAATCTGCAAATAAGATAATCTTGAAATCCTTTCTTGATGCAAATCTCCTCCATATATTCTTGGATGTGCAGGTGAATCATCCAGAAGTGCCACATTCTGAAATTCGACCCACCGATTCTGGAATTGAGTTACCATTTCTGAAACAGAGTTCACCTTTTCCGAAATATAACCTACCGATTCTGAAATTGAAGTTGAAAAGGTATAGACTTTCGGATTGTTTTGTCCATTCAAGTCTGCATTCATTTGAAGTTGGTTTTGTTCCAAGATACCTGTGATAGGGTCAGATCAGATGATTGCCTGTTGAGTCAATGTCATTTGGAGAGAAATTAAATTAATCAATGGTGAAGTGACTTGAAGATCTAATGTTTGAAGCTTTTTTGGTGTGTCACCATTGACATCCTCAAATTGTCATAATTTCTGACTATAAAATGTTGGTCATGAATATTGAATAGGCGTAGGTACAGTTGTGTGCATGAACAATTCGTACAGCAGTTATATGCTATCGTGAGTCAAGCTTGTCAATCGTGATTGATCTTCATATCGACTTCGACAAGTAGTGTCAAAATTCGAACTATTTTTGTCAGTAATACGCAGATGTGTACTTTTTAATGATATCTGGAACATCATAGGCATGTTTACACCATAAAAACCTTGTCGCCTTTTCTATGCACACAACTGTACTTGTGAACATTTTTTTGAATGGATACAAATTTCGTTAATGTAAGAATAACTGATTACCAAGATTACAAAAATGATGGTATCACCGTATATCTTCATTCCCAAGAAATTAAAAGACATTTCGCGAATAAAATAACAATGAAATGATGATATGTATTCTGATGGAACTGTTGAAATACTTGACCAAACTGCTCTCGTGTGTGCACTTCAAATTGTTACGAAACGAATCACGAGAGCGAGTCCCTTACAGGAATTTGATCGATACGGATATAAGGAGGGAAGGAATTTGATGTAGAGGCCAAGGGATGGAAAAGGTTGTAAAAATAAAGAGGTAAGGGTTCAAATATGAAGTGGAAAAAAATAAGTACGCCAATGAGTTCAAGAACTTGCGGTATGCTCTCAAGATAAGGGGTATATGAGCGATTATATGATAGCAATCAAACACAATGATGATCATTCCCTTTCAAATTGGTAAGCAATGAATATCTCGAGCGATATAATACAGATTAATGAATTATCGTTGGTGCTTCATTTGTAAAGACTTGTGGTTTTTTTTCTCCCAGTATTGTATCAAGATACCTGTGATAAGGACAAATCAGATGACTCATCCCAAAATATCACTTCGCTGGAAATTCAATGATTCCTAACCTGAGAGGGAAATTACATTAATCAATGGTACAGCGCTTAGATCTGATGTTTGATGTTTTGTTGAGAGTGAGGACACAATTGCCATAACTGACATCCTTGAATAATTGTCCTGTGATTTTTTTTTAATGAATAAAATATGTGTAAATGTGGTTTGGCACACTAGTTTTTTCGAATTCGTTTCAGAATCAACCGGAGCGCGAGCGGCTTGAGAAATTGAGGTGGTGCTCGCGGCTGGTCGTTTTGACCGACTAGGAAATCCTTGATTTTGTCAGTATTTGTGTTGAATACTGTCTGTGAGTTAATCAAGGAGGTGGAACATTCATTTTATCATTCATGAAATAGAAATATGAATGCTAATTCAATATTCGTGAAGTTAAAACAAATCAGATGATTCTTCCCAAGATGTCACTTCGTTCAAAGAATTTTCCTATCAGAGAGCCTAAAAGAAAAATTCATCAGCTTATCAATGACAATTTGTATTGAAAACAGTCTGGAGAAGAGAAATAAAGATATCTATAGGAAAAATATCAAAATTTTACTTATCTTTGGACGTTTCGGGTACGAATCTGCTTCCGTTTCCAATATAGAAATGGAAATTTCGTATGGCAAACTAGCATTCGTCCTGACACTCTTCAGTCCTAAGTGACAATTGGTGACCTTGGCAATCAAATGAGTTACAGGATGATTTCATTTATCAATCTTGAATTCGCGATTTTCATTTTCCGATTTCAATAGTGAATACCATTTTCTATCTATATCAACTGAACAAGAAGCAATGCTATTGTCTCCGTTCAGAAGAATGCGAGCCGTAGGGACAATGATACAATATCCCTTACAACACCAGTACATCCTAGGGACTTTCCATGGACGTCCCTGATTTAATACTAGGACATCCCAGGAATGTCCTTCGTCGGGACAACGTACATAAAAAGGCATCCAAGGGATGTTCTTCTGGTACGTCCCTGGAATGTACCGAGTACGATGAAAGGATATAACTAGGACGTCCCAAGGATATCCCAGGGACATCCTTTCGACGAAAGAAAAAAAGTTGCAGGTCGAGTAGGGATTGAACCCGGGACCTTTGGCTTATCATGCACGCACCTTGCTCCATTGGCTATCATGCCTCCTGAAGATTTATGTACTAAACAGATTTATAAACAGGACTTAACTACAGAAACCTGAATAAATACAACTTTTTTAGGAATTGGGTATAATTATTATCATCCTTGGGTGTTCAAAAAAATGAGGGGCATAATGCATGTACGATTTCTGTCTGCGAGAAAAGGTAATTTCTTAAGAAGTTCTGAGACTTTATTCTTTATTTTCATTACAATCATTTTCCGGAAGAGGAACAAACATTTTCAAAAGAATTCAACTCAATGGTTTGATTAAATTCAATGACCCTGATGTGAATGGATATCAGATACTCCAGGGACACGAATAGGATAACCTAGGGATGTACCGGGCGGGATGTTCACTGGACAACCACTGCAGGACATCCCCTGGATGTCCCAATCATGTCCTTGTACCGCGGGACAAAAAAAGGACGTACCTAGGACATCCCTGTGTTGTTAGGGATACAGGAAAGACACTTCGACAAATCTGAACTAGCCGAGCATATCCTTGGGGAAGATGGAGAACATATGGCAGAGTGGAATAATATCGAAATTATTGGTAAAGAAGATAATAACCTGAAGAGAGAAATCAAGAAATCTGCTTGCATTCTTTTGAACGGAGACAATAGCATGGCTTCCTGTTCAGTTGCTATAGATAGAACATATAACTCACTACTGAAATCTGAGAATGAAAATGGTCAATTCAAGATCAATCAATGAGAACTTCCTGTAACTCATTTGATTGCCAACGTCACCAATTGTCACTGAGAACTGAGAAGTGTCATCAGGACAAATGAAAATTTGCCCTACGAAAAATCCATTCTTATATCGAAAACGGAAGTAGATTCGTCCTCGAAACGTCCAAAAATTTGTAAAAATTTGATTTTTTTTCTATATAGCTCCATTTCTCTTCTCCAAACTTTGTTCAATACAAATTGTCACCGACAAGCAAGTGAATTGTTCTTGTAGGCTCTCTGATTGGAAAATTCTTCAAACGCAGTGACATTTTGGGGCAAATCATCTAATTTTTCCCAACTACACATAAATCAAAATAGCATTCATATTTCTATTCTATAGAGACAAGGAGAGAAAATCCCAAAAAACTCTGTAATAATGAGTATTTGTGTTGTTTATCCTGGTATCCAGCTACTGCCATACATTCTATATAAACTTCATTGACTATAAACAGAAAGCAGAAATGTTTTTGAACAAAAATGAAAATGACGAACTCGTTGTGTAATAAAAAATACAAGTGTTCGAATTATGTTCCATATTCCATTATACAAAATAAATCCGTATAATACGTATCTAGAATAACCATCTATTTGATTCTGTCACATTCATTTGATTACAACCTCCACTTTCATTCGAACAATTAATAATTTGATACAAACTTGAAAATGCTCGCGCGTCGGTGGAAACGACCAATTGTCAATTTCCAGCTTCTGGCAACAATCTTTGACAAAAACCGAAAGTATATACTGGTTCGCCAGTTCGACTCATAATGCGCGTCGTAATGTGACAATCTGAATAAATTTGAGAGAAAAAAAATATATGCTTGGCGGCAAATTGACCGGGATGCGAGCGTTCTCGGGTCAACTCTGAAAAACATGGAGAGACTCAGCATCCGATTATATCCGGATACAAAGATAATTCAAAAATTGAAAAATGATCGAAATGCATCAAGTGCTTCCAACATACATAGGTTTCTTTAGAGCTACCAAAAAGGCAAGGTGTATGTCGATATGTGGTATTATAATTATTATTATTATTATTCAAATCTATAATCCTTGAAACTTCCATCGCTTGTTCACCTTTTCCTCAACCACCCACCTAGGATAGTCTTATGAATTTTTCAATCTTTCTATATTTTAGTGAGGATCTGAAGAACGTCGAGCTCAGCTTGGAAGGCAGTATCTTTCTAGGAGCAAAGCCAGAAGCCCTCTACAACGATATTAAAATCGAGAGCTTGGTACCAGAGAACCCCTATCAGACACTAGACAGCCTTACTATGAGACCATGTTCATACTGCAAGGCACCCCTGGACAATAAAACGCATAATTACTGCTTGTTGGGCCACATTTCTTGCTCCACTTGCAGAGAGAAGATGTGCAAGGAATGCGTGTGTATCTTGGATAAAGAATCCAGAATGCTCTGTAGGAACTACCAGAGAGGATGTGATCAAACTTTTAAGTTCGATCAACTGCACCAACACCAAATGGATTGTGCATATAATGATTTGAAATGCCCATTGCAAACCTGCAATGAAAAAGGGGCTCTACCCTGGATCAAACAACATCTGCAGATAGATCATCCAGACAAAGTCATCTTCAACACTGAGATCAGCAGAAAATTCAGCAACAAGGACGATACTGTGATAGTCGTTTGTTACGATAATATCTTCAAGTGTGTATACTATTACTACAAAACTTTCGTGGAGTTTTTTGTGACTTACGTGGGGTCTAGTGATGAAGCTATGCAGTTCTCCTATGAGGTGACTGTGAGTTTGGATGGTGATGAGTTGTTCAGGAGGGGGAGTTGTTCTAGTTGGAACGATGTTATGCTGCAGAAGGGTATTACGTTCGAGAAGCAGGAGTTGCTGAGGGCAAATGGAAGGAAACTCTGTTTTGACATGAATATCCGAATTTTGAATTGATGTGGATAGTCAGAAGATGTGCTTGGATATATGTATACACTGTTTATCCACAATAGAATCTGAGTGATCAGAATTAACGGAGATTATCGTGAAGCATTTCGATTTCTATAAATGCCAAATCGACTCATTATCTTCCACAAATAAGAGATCTCATTGCATTGAAGTGTATTACGGGGCGGTTGATAAACTCTTTGCTATATTCTTGAAGAAGGATGGGGATCTCATGATGGCCAACGGAAGGTATATTTCACTGAAGATGAGCACACTTGATAGATGAGTATACATCAGGGATCTCCGCTCCTGTCACTTCCAAAATTCTACCTATGATTATTGATACGGAGTTATATCCTCTCATGAGAATTTGAGAGATTTCTTGTATAGTCATATTTGATAGTTAATTGGAATTCTGCATTTTTATTGAAGTATTTATTTCGAAATCATTTTCATTGAATCTCATATGACTATATGCATTTGAAGATCGTGGTATTGTGTTTGAGTTGAGTTTATTTCAACTATCGATTATTTTAATCGTCTTTCAAGGTAATATATGCATGAATACTAATATGCGATGAGTATCCACTATTGGTAATGAAAGTAGGTATTTGATCACACAATCAGATAGTATACAAGATGAATCAAAACTCTATGTCAATATTTCGAGGACATATTGTTGGGATCACCATAAGGCTTTTTTTGCATTCGAACATATGTCTCAAAATGCACCTCCTCCGTGCTACAGCCACTTCATAAGTTGGGTATAAGAAATGAAATGAGATTATGACTAGAATAACGGGTCAAATCCCCTGAAAATTTGCATGCCCCTATCTTTTTATATACTTTATTTCCTTCTTGCTTCAAAAATTATGTGATTATTCAGTATTGTGGAAGTTGGAGGGGGGTCCTCACTCTTATTATAATATCGACAAATGAATAATTCTCCACTACGAGTTCCGATTTTGAGAAAAAAAATTGGATGTTAGATAATTCAGACAACTTTATAAACTCAATTCGAACACGACTGTTATAGGGTCAGATAAAAATCATCCTGGTCTTATCCTCAGTCTGATTTGGCTCACAAATCATTCGACTCTGCATGCATGAATAAATGATCTGAATAAAATAGCTCGCACTGAAATCCTGCAATCCCTGAAATATAAATTGTATAGTTTGAAGTAGTGTAAAAACAATGTACGTGCTGAAGCACATATTCTATATGATACTCATGAAATAAATGATGAAGAGTAGATGAACTGAAGTCTGGAGAAAATGTTCGACATAGAGAGTGTGACCTCCCAATCCATATAAATTATTCGAAATATCTTCCTGACAACTCGTAATGTGTGATGGTGAATTTATTCATTTATTTCTCTTTTCATTACCATATTCAATATAGAATAAACTATGTTTTCGATAGCTACCTACTCACTTATCACTGTTCATCATCATTATGACATTCACCTTCCTCCTGAGATTGTTTCTGCGGATGCCGCTCGAAATTTGTTTCAAATGACAACTCATTTCCAGTGTAAAATGAAATAATCTCCAATCTTTGTAACGTATTTCCCAATGAAGATAATTTATCATTGCAGCTTCTACTGATCTACTTGCTCTTTCCGTTTCACAGAAAAACTTCTGAAATTCCTCTCGATTAGGATGTAAAAAGACTTCCGGCCGTTCCATCTAACATGTAATTCATCATACCATATCGCTCCCAAATTAACGTGTTTCATTACTTTTCATCAGTCATCCTTATCTCGGCTGCCACTGTCTGAAGTTCCCATTAAAAGAATATACTATACTGGAATGGAATGACAACAGGATGGTCTTATCGCTGCTATGACAGGCAGATGGCTTTCATTTGATCACCGTTTCACTTCATTTCGTTCAGAAGGTGTTGATTTATAAACTGACAAAAAAGGTTATGGAGTTTCCTCGGCCGTACTCAGTCGATAAAAATCATCATCACTAAAAGGCTTCCTTGATTCAGAATGATTCATTTGTTCACCCGCTAACTCTTGTCTGTAAGAATTATTTTTCCTCAAATAATGATTCATGATGTTAGTGTTGGAACTGCTTTTTCATTATGTGGAAAGAAGCATCCAACAGAATGAGAGCAATTATTTCTCTATAAACACCATTTAGACCGACAGGTATAGTGACAAATATTTGGACGTGATTTCACCCAGTCTGCCTTCTGGAGGGAATCACTATAAATATGTCTTGATGTAAGGTTAGATTGGGTGAGTTTCAATGTGAATGAGGCGAACTATCATCCCTCCACTGCGACCCCAGAAGAGTCTATGACTGATGAATGGAGTGAGATTTATCTTGAATTGATAGGTTTTGAATTGGTTGAGCAAAATATGTCGAACCTCAATATCTCTTAGCAAGAGCATGAACATAGTATGTATTCAGCTGCCATGTCTGCCACACAGCAGGACCGACACTCAGCTTGTTGGTTCAGACTTATCCTTTCTAGGTGGTGTCTTAGACGACAGTGTCCCGTATGCAGTCCTGTCATTATTCGCAGGTTACCTGTGCTTCATTATAGGATCTGCCTGGTCTCTTCTTCCGTTAGTTCATGCAGAAATGCCTCCGAATGGGTTAATCTTGGTATTTCAAAACAGTGCGTGAGTCTTCTCCCCTCTGCCCAGTTCGAGATAGTTGTTTTGGCCGCACTTGCGGAGAACCCTAAGTATGGTTCTGGGTGGCGAGGATGTCGGCTTTCCCGTTGCCCTCCACTTCCTTGATATCCAGGCAACCACAGCAGAGTGACTCTGTTGTTAGCACTCAGACATTCTAGGAATTCAATACAGCTCCATACAAGCTTGTAATTCATTTTGATCGAGCTCATTGCTTTGAGAGCACCCTGACTGTCTGAAACAATACTGATGTTGTTTTTCACTAGAAATCAATTTGTCAACTTTCTAGCACACAATTGAATCGCGAAGACCTCTGCCTATGATATTGTAGCATACTTACCAAGATTTACTGAGATTTTCGTCTTCGGTTTCCTGCTGAACACACCGGCTCCATCTCCAAGCGGAATTTCCAAAATATCTGTGTATATTAAGTGTTCGATCTCTGGGAATTGGATTTATTCTCTTACCCACTCGTATCTCTTCAGAAAGGAGATTTTGAAATACTTTTTCACGTGTGTCTGAGTGGACAATATGTCGGGAACCATTCCTAGAGTTGAATATTTTTTTATTTCACGCAGTATCCCAGAGTGGCCCAGCAGTTGCTCTCCTCTGATTTGATTTTCCAATGACACGAATCTATTGGAAACCATCCTGGCAATTCTCTCCAAGACAATGTGGAGGAAAGTGTCCCGATGAAGTGAAGGACATTGCTGCTGTGATGTCCAGGCATGCTAGCCACTGAAGACTTGCAAGCTTTGCCCTAGCTGTCGCTTGCAGACCTTTAGTCCACCAGAATATCAAGCCATGCGGGACTATTGATTTAACCTATCTGGTAAATCCAGTGTATTTGTGTGAGATCCATTCCTCAAGATCTTCCGCATACCATTCTGGGATTCCTGAGGCAAAATATGGCTTTGTTAATAATTTTGCCATGTGGGCTTTCCGGGTGAGTCTCTCATGTAGGGTTACACCTAGATATATCACTTTCGCCGCAAACGGAATGCTCTCTTCATGAAGGATAGGCTGATCAAGCTTGCCTATCAGTGAATAGGATAATTACAGTTCTCCGGGGGTTCACAGACATCTGCCTCCTCTCGCACCATCTTTACATAGTATTGAGGGCTTCTTGTAGGTCGTTTGAGATCATCGCTTCCAATTTTCATCTCACTGTTAGGACTAAATCATCTGCACAGCATTGAAAATCCACCTCCTGCATTCTGTGGACAACCTTTCTGCTCTCAACTTGATCGATTCTCCATGTAGTGATGATATAATGTATTGATTTTTGATTTTAAATTTGATTCAATTGCAGATATGACTGCTGATTCTTCAAATTGCATTGTTTCATGAAGTGATTGTAGTAGGGTTTTATTGAACGCTCCTCCTATGTCCAGGAAAGTTGCCAGCGCATTTCCTACATGATTCAAAGAATGGCGATGCTTACCTACAAAATTGATTAGTGCTAAATTCGTGTATCTGCCTGTTTGGTAGTCATCTTTATGAGGATCAAGGGAATGTGTTTTCAGATAACTTGGTCTAACATGCCTGTCTAGATCTATTCCTAGAGATTCCAATAAAAACAAGATAGGGCTGATCAGTCGAAAAGATTTTGGTAGAGAGTGAGTCGCCATACCTGATTCGTGTATAAACACAATCCTCACTTTTGACTATAGCCTAGTGAAATATAGCTCCACTCCAAACTTGCTCAGAATAATTCAACCAGGAGAGGAAGTAAAACTTCTCAACCTTTTTGTGAGAGACAGAAAACACTCCGTCCTTCCCCGGTGACTTGATTGGAATGAAATAATTCACCGCCCATTCCACTGACACTGGAATTTTCATATCTTAGAGGCATTCACCAAGTCCTTCTATTCTGGTCGTATGATCGATGCCATTGGAAGCCGGCCCTTCAGAAGCAGACTGTCATGAAAGTGAGTATGTAAATAATCTTCAACTTTTGGCTACCAGGGTTCGTAAAGTAGCCGACCGGTCGTTTTATCGATCCGATCTCTTGGATGATATATCTGGCAAGAGCCTTGTGATTTCTCATGCTGGCAGGTACATCTGATATACTCTGATGAAACCCTCCGAGAGTCTCTTTTGGCTTTCCTCATCTCCTTGTAATAAGCCGTTAGAGATGTGCGGCAGGCTTCCCAGCATCCTGTTCCTTCGGCTCGATTGAAGAATCGTCGAACTTCTTGTCTTTTGTGTATAGGTTTATGCTCTACCAAGATGTACCTCTGTGGTCTTCCTTTTCCTCCAATGGAGAGTTTTCCTGATAGGTCGTCAGAATGGTGGTTCTTTTTTTGATAGAACTGATACCGTGATCTAGGTGCTTCTGGTGAGCTTCACAGTAGTCATTTCAGACCGTGAACCTAGGATCACGAAATTGTACTATTGGTCGGTGTCATGTTCTCATGTCAAATCGTATATGTCTATGATCTGATCATACGAGCTCTGTGGATACTTGCCAGTTAACGATCTTCGTTCTCATAAACTTTTTGCTTATTGTTAAGTCTGAAACTCCCTCGCGAATTCTATATTATTATATTCCGATGTTGAAAAATGATACATGAACCAATCATTCTAGTTTCTTCA